TATTTATGACCAAAATCTGCGATATTCCCTACCCTATTTATGACCTGACCAAAAATTCGAAACCCTATTTGTGACCTGACCCTTAAATCAAAACCCTGTTTCAGACTTGCGCTATAATTAGTTCTCTAGTTCAGACCAATGTTAAATTAGCGTAAACATAATTTCGAAGGGTTTCTGTTGATTTTCTTTTTGATAATGATGAAAAAGTGGCTTCTTCTTAAAAACATACCCATATGAAGGCTAGGGTGTAAAAATCATACCCTATTTATGACCAAAATGGCCAAAATCAACTATTAAAATCAATACCCTATTTATGACCAAAACGGCTGAAAAACCATAGCTGTTCAATGTTACCTTAGTTTAGAGAAAATATATATACAGCTTCAATGGCTACCTGTTTTACCTTTTCCCTTGAAACAATAACAACTTGATGCTGTTTTACACCCTTCAACCTAAATATTGGTTTTTTCCTATCAAGAGGTGTTATTACTAGAATTTAGTGCGCTATAATATTATTGGTGACATAAAATTGTTAAACTGACGAAGACGCTCCCTATCTCAACTACCCCTCACTTTGCTTTGAAGTTAGGCTAATGCTTGGAATGCCACCTTTACAAACTCACAGTTAATTTTTCCATTATCCTCTTTAAGTTGATAAATATTTTAGCTAGTATTTCACTTGCCTGTTGATGCAGCACTACAGTTCCTTTGGAAACTAATGAGCAACTACTTCACCCATGACTTAACTTCAGATTTTCCTTTCTTTTCCCCCAGGCGAGTGATAAAGCCAGAACTTCTGACTAACCCAAAGTGAATTAAGATGTACATAAATGGAAATAGCTAGGTCACAATCAAATCTTTTTTTTTTTGATTTCTTGATTCATAATTTTTTTTCCCTACAAAATTGTAAGGGATGAGCTGGAGGACATCAGAAAAGAGATTGAAAAAGAGGAAGAACACATTCATAGAGGCCCATTGAAAACAAAGAGTGAACTGTCAGTGAAGGTACATAGTATATCCTCTAGCTTATTTGTTTTTTGTTCATTTGTTCGTTCGTTCATTTGTGCATTTGTTGGAAACTTTGAAAATCAAAATCGAAATGGTGATGGAGAGTGTAAGGAAAATGCAAAAAACAGGTGTAAACAAATAAAGCTTCCATTAACGTGGTGGTTATCTCAACAGACCAGTTGGAATTGTTTCATGCACAGAGTATTGTGATGGCCGCATCAAAATTTTGTTTAGAATATTATGAGCAAAAAACACTGTCTTTATAATGGTAATGAACATCCTCCCTTGAACTCCCATCATAAAAGGGGTGCATAAAATATAGCCCTAAGTGACTTTTTGGAAAACTTTGAGGTAAGCAGCATTGAAATACCTCCCACCAATAATTATTGAAGGCTTTCGTGCAAAAAGGGCTTATAAAGCATTTTGGGCCGATTTTTATTTTTTGCAGGATCAAGCTAATTTTTGGCAGACTGGCTTGTTTTGATATGAAAAGAATCGTTGCATAATTGTTTTTGTTGATTTGCACTTTGTTTTCGAGAAATGCTATATATGCCCTTTTTGCATGAAAGCCTTCAATTATTATGAAGACATGATTGATCATTGCACTCAAATAAATGAAATTTCATCTATTCACTTGTGTTCTTCACCATCTACAGGTATATTATGAATTCACAATTTGACCAGCCACCCAGTTGGCTTGATAGTTGGTAGAGTACTGCACTGGTATCGCAGAGGTCATGGGTTCAAATCCCTTTCAAGCCTGAATTTTTTTCAGGCTTCATTGCACAACTTCTTAACCCCTTACCCCCCCCCCCCCCCCCCCCCCCGCCCCCCAAGGGGAACGGCACTTTAAACGGCAAATAAAGACACTCTGCCTCTGTACAATATACCATTTGAAAGCCACTAAGCAGCTTATTTAAGAATTGACATCAGCTGCTATGAAGGAGGTAGACATTTTGAGAGAAATTGCTTTAAAATGCGAAAATGAACGACTTCAAATTGTGTATCAACCTTATACTGTATTTAAGGTATACCCCTAAACTGTAGCTTATTTAGCAGCTCTTAGTGCATAGCTTGATATGAAACATTTTCACAGTTTACTCTGGTTTTATTTATTGTCTAAAAAAATAGTGATAATTACTATTTCCTTTTAGACAATAAATAAAACCAGAGTAAACTGTGAAAATTGCAGGTAGTTATTTCAATCCTGGCTACCTCAAAATTTTCCAAAAGTCGCTGAGAACTTTATTCCATGCACGCCTTCAATTGTTATACACCTTGTCTCAGTTGCTGAGAACATTAATAGTAAAGTTACAATGTATAATTCTGTTTTAGGATCTTCCTGAAGTTCCAGATCTTGATATAACCATTGATGAAAATGTTCAGCTTGTGGAGCTTGGTGTTGTGTTCAGTACTGTTGAGTCATTTGGTAGGTTTGTTGTTTTAAGCAAACTAAACTGCAAGTCGAGAGGCAAGCATTCTTAGGAGGGTAGCCTGTGTTACAGTCGCCCTCCTTAAAAGAAAAAAATTGGAGAGAGCGTCTGTGTGTTGCCACTGAAAATTGTGTTCCTTGCTTAAATTTTCTTGCATTAAAACTGTTTCAGTGTAATAACATCTGACCTGCCAAAATATTTGTTCAGCACAACCGATAAAATGCAAAGAGCAGCGTTCAACGAAAACTTTTTTAAACCACAACTGGTTGGTAAATCAATCAGGTCATTTTCTACACATTTCAGGTAAAATCTCTTGGCCTTGAACCACAAATGCTCTCTCCCATTATTTTTTTTTTCGGAGAGGTTGGGTGTAACACAGGCTAACATCTCGACAGTCCAGGTATATATATCCAGACTGGCCACCCTATTGTTCCACTTAGATGCTGACACAATAACTGAGGATTATTTTTCCTTGGATGTGTACTAGAAACTTGAAGGTTGTTTTCAGGGATCCAGTTTTTCTTCCCCACAAGCCAAATGCACCTGTAACCAGCAATCAGTAACTCTGGTTTCTATTGTATGCACAATGACTAAAGATAGTATCACTACAGAGACTTCTCTGGACATGACGCTAGTCTGTTTTAAGAACCCATTTATAGGGACACTGTTTTCAAAGCAACATTGTTTGATCCTCCTCTTTATTATCTATTCAGATTTAAAAAAAAAAAAACAACAGAAAAGTATCCGATTCCAGTTTAAGTATCAACTGATTTTGATGTAATTGATCATGTAGCGTGCTCTTGCTCTTTCTAGTTGTAGTAAAAGCTTTGCCGCAGACTCCAGCTTTGGATTCAGATAGTGTTCTTTTCTTGGAGAACAGATCCTGTCTTGGCTTGGTATGACAATAATGATGAAGTTATAACTCACATTACTTGTTAATTGTCATCCTGCTCTAAACTAACTTAATCGATCTTCCTTAACTTTTAAAATTCTTCCTAGGTGGGTTCTTTGTTCAGATATTGTATATTATAACCTTTTTTTAGCGACCTTCACTGAATAAACCTCTATTTTGCAGCATTGTTATGACAAAACTTTTTTAATTGTGGATTGGTTGAAGGATGCTATTTGAAAAACCATTGAGTTTCCAAATATTAGAATGAACTTGTAAAACTTTAATGTCCTATGCTCTCCTGGGGTTGTTAAGGAGTGATGATGATATTTATTGTGTTTCCTCTTGACAGGTTTTTGAGACATTTGGACCTGTGCAGACCCCATTTTACTCTATCAGATTTAACATGGACAGAGACATCAGTGATAAAAATGTCAATGTAGGAGACAAAGTATTCTATGCTCCTGATATGATGGAGTTTTCCAACTTTGTGTTTGTGGCCCAGCTTAAAAAGTATGTTCATCTGTCAGTAGTTTAAGAGATGTGGATGGGGTGGGCTAATGCTAGGAGTGACAAATAGTGAAGTCCAGAGATGCCAACCTAAAAAAATCAAAATCCGGGAGATTGCCAATTTCACCTTGTTTGACCCTAAAAAAAGTTGTTCAAAGTAGAACTCCACTAATTAGACTGCAAAATGCATCAAATATCCAGAATCCCCCCTTCAAAAAAAAAAATTAATGCCAAAAATTGGCCAAAACGTTATGTGAAAAATGTATTTTATGCACTTTCATTTGTATTGTGTGGGAGATTTGGTGACCCATATGGGAGACTGGTAGCCTGCATAGTTTGGTGGTTTAAGCACTTTTTAAGTAATTTGAGCTCATTAATGCGGCTTTGGCACTTATTATCGCGGCTTTGCCACTTTCTTATCTCGTTCAAATTGCTTAAAAACTGCCAAGCTACGCAGGCTGGGAGACAGTGAGATTCAGTCTGTGTCAGGGAGACTCCCGGATAATCCAGGAGGGTTGCCATAGATACAAGTCTGAGAATGCTCAAGATGCCAGGACCCTCTCTTGAAAATCTAAGACTGAGACTTGTGCCATGTTAGACAATAGACCATTTTACAGTTGTCTGCTCAATGGCCTGGCCTTTGGATGGCAGCGAGACTGAAGTTGACTTTGTTTTGATACAGACCTCACTACTTTTGTTGTGTAAAACAAGTTGTTTTGATGCTAACTAGGGGCATTTACATGACAAAAGCAGTGAGGTCCGTATCAAAACAAGGTCAACTCCAGCCTCGCTTCCATCCAAAGGCCAGGTCACTGAGCAGACGACTGTAAAATGGTCTATTGAAACACAGAAAAACAGCACTTTGTGACTCATCATCAAGGCACCCAAGATTTTGAGATCAGATTGAAAGTTTCCAAGACCCAGTAATTTAAATTTTTTTTAAAATTTACATACATACATACCTACATACTTTATTGACTTCCCCTAAGAGGCTTTTCAAACACAATGACTTAAATTTAAATAAGTACAACAATAAAAATAAGATGGCAACAATAAAAATCTACTACCCTAAAAAAGTATTTACACTAATATTTAAGAATCTATAAAATCCTTTACCAGTTTACGTTTTACATTAAATTTAAAAGCAGATACTGATTTAAAAGTTCTAAGATAACTATTCATAGAGTTCCAAATACTGTTCTATAATAAAAAGTCCTTTATTACCACTAGCAGTCTTGAAAAGCAGAATATTGAGCATCTGTGAACTTCTTGTGGTACGCCTGCTTATTTCTTCTCGCTTTATGAATTGAGAGGAAAGGTACTCTGGCACACGGAATGTTAGGCACTTAAACATCCCGTTTGCAGGCATACCACAAGAAGCTCACGGATGCTGAATATTCCGCTTTTCAAGACTGCTAGTGGTCAAAGTACTTTTTATCATAGAACGGTTAGTATTTGGAACTCTATGGATAGTTATCTTAGAACTTTTAAATACTAAAAAATATTAAAATTACTAAAACTTGATAGAAACACAGAGAACATGAAGAGAGAAGCCTAAGCCGTGTATTACACTGTGATAAAACATAACGAGCATTTGAGAACACGAGGGAAACGTAGAAAACATGAGCCGCATGGCTTAGGCATCTTCATTTGCTTTATGATGTAGATTTTACATGTGGTGAGTAGAAACAACAAAGTACACAGATCGACAAACTGACGCAATTTAATACCACTAAAGTGTTACGTGCCTCATCTTCAAAACTTTCTGCTGCTTCGCAGAGAACTCCATGACAAATTTCTTCAAAGAAAATGTTTTTCACCATCTCTAACAAAAATGTTGACTAGAGGAAATGTGGTGAAAAACAATAAAACACACTTTTTCTATGTTTTATACTCTGCTAAAACACAGGTTTTTGACCAATCAGAGTGCGCATAGGGTCCTATCTATATTATAATTCTTAAATATAGCTCAGTTTGATCATCTTTCAGGTTAAAAGGATCTGATGCTTCCTGGGAACATGATGAAGAACCACCACAAGAGGTGAATGACACTAAAAATTAATAACAGTCAAATTTCTTATTTTATTTATTTAGCCAAAGACTTCCTCTTGATGGTCAATATTTTATGGTATAAATTTTTACAGTAGATCATTAGTCAATCAAAAGTGTGATGTGTCTTTA